AGACCAATATCCTTTTCATCAAATTTCCCCCTCTAGATTTAGCATCCATTAATTCTTGCCCACACTAATCTCAACATAGTTGCAAAAGTTTTCTAATCTCTCCATAAATACCCATACTATAAAGCCAAGTTATTGCCTTCAGGTCTCAGGTCTCAGGCCAGGCACGGTGGTGCACACTGTAATCCCAGCACTCGGGAGACTGAAGCACAAGTATCGCCCAGGCTGGCCTGGGTAGCAAGTTCAAGTTCAGTCTAGATTGCTTCTCGGCCCTTTGGCTAGGATCAAGTGAAGTCCAGTCTGGACTACACAGTGAGACCCTGTCTCGAAAAAGCAAGGGTGGAGTAAGATACCGGAGTAAGATAATTCCATCTCCTGAGCAGGACGGATTAGACTGCAAACCTGTATGTGAACTATGAAGGACTCAATGAATAAGATAAAAAAAAATTTGAAAAAACATCTGAAGGATTTCCTAGTTGGTTCCCTTAGCAAAAGGATCAAGAGATAAACTCCTTGAAATAACATGTACGTACCCTGCCAAGGTCCTGGAGAAAGGTTCTGACACTGTCTGCCATCTCTTCACCAACCAGACGTCTTATCAACTACACAGAGAGAGGAGTGTCCCAAATAGCTCATCATGAAGGACCTGGAAACATACGAACCATGATGGAATGAAAACATTTATCTTTTTTTTTTTTTTGTTTTTTTTTTCCGGTACCAGGAATCGAACTCACGACCTTGTGCTTGCCAGGCAGGCGCTTTGCCGCTGAGCTAAATCCCCAGCCTCGAAAACATTTATCTGAAAGACAAGTTACTCTAGCCAGGCGAGGTGGCATACACCCGTAATCCCAGTCCCCGGAAAGCTAAGGCAAAAGGACTACAGCAAATTGGAGACTAGCCTGGGCTACACAGCGAGTTCAAGGCCAGCTTCAACTACAGTGAAACCCTGTCTCAAAACAAAACAAAACACCAGTTATTCATGTACATTTCTAATAACCCCACATTCTGGTTTTAGCAAGAAAGCAACAAATTCTACTCTAATTCTAGCTCATAAGGAACTAAGTGAGGCTGTCCTTTTAAGTGCTAAAACCTAAAATCTTTAATTTTTTTTTTCTCTGATTGGTTTACTTTGAAATAAGGACTCACTGTGTTGGTCAGACTGGTCACTAACTCCTGGGCTCAAGCAATTCTCCTGCCCCAGCTTCCTGAGTAGGTGGTGAGTAGCTGCAACTAGAGGGACTTAGCGTTGTGCTTGGCCTAAGTTCTTTTTTGCTTTAAGTCACTCACTACCCTTTCACTTTTTGTGGGATAAATGTGCTCTTGGAGGGGACCAATGATCTCATCTGGGCCTTGATGTCCCTAACTATCCCTCCTATAATCCAAGCACTTTTGAAGATCTGGAGATGGGTGAAAATATCTTAGTATCCTTTTAAATAATTTTTATGCTTGTTGTATAACCTCAAACACTTGAGTGAATATATAAAAGCAATGTAAAAGTTCTTATAAAAAAAAGACTAAACATGCACCTCAATCATACACAGAAGCCAGACATGGTGATGCATGCCTGTAACACCAGCACTCAGGAGGCTGAGGCAGGAGGACTGCCCAAAGTTCGAGGCTAACCTGGGCTACACAGCAAGACCCTGTCTCAAAAAAAAAAAAAAAAAAAAAAGTCATACACAGAGCCCTTCAGCACATAGACAAGTTTGAGGCAGTGGTGACAAACCTGAGGGATGCATGCCGCAGTGGGGTGTTTGTATCATTGAGAGCTCTAAAAGGTTTGCCATCACTGGCTTAGAGTATGATGTGAAACTACTACCAAAACCTCCTAATAGGTTGATCTGCTTTCTAGTTTTTTTTTGTTTTTGTTTTTTGCGTTTTTGAGACAGGGTCTCACTATGCAGTTCAGGCTGGCCTTGCGCTCACTTTGTAGCCCAGGCTGGTTTCGAACTCGCAACGATCCTCCTGCCTCAGCCTCCTGAGTGCTGGTGTTTTCTAGCTTTTGCAGTACATAACTGTATTCCGTTTGGAGAGTTGGTATGTGTACACAACACATTTCAATCCTTTTCTTTAGACCCTTCCCCTCGCTTGTCTCCATCTCTTGGTCCCCTTTCCTTCTGCAAAAAAGCTATCTCCCTACTTCCCATTAGCTATCAGTTATTTTGCTCTTTATTTGTTTTGGGTTTCCATGCAATATTTAAGCTTCTGTGTCTGATTTATTTCACTTAACATTTTGGTTTCAAGTTGCATCCATTTTCCTACAAATTACTCAAACTTATCCTTCTTTATGGCTGAGTAGTACTCCACTGTATACCACCTTTTCTTTAGTCATTCATCTGTTGGACACAGACTGCTTCCAAGATTTAGCTATTAAAAGTTGTGCTGCTGGGCTGGGGATTTAGCTCAGCGGCAAAGCGCCTGCCTGGCAAGCGCAAGGTCGTGAGTTCGGTTCCCGGTACCGGAAAAAAACCAAAAAAATAAAAAATAAAAAAAAATTAAAAAGTTGTGCTGCTATAAACATGATATCCAGGTATCACTGCAATACCTTTAACTTTTCTTGGAAAGAGACACAAATCATTTAATTTCTTT